TAGGTTATTTATGTCGGAATTAAGATATTTATGAAGGATAAATTTCTCATACCTTAATCTCTCAAGGGTTTGAATCATCACAGATCAAAAATTTAGGTGAAATTTATTGTATATAAGTGGTGTCCATTATTATATAATGGGTATCTTATTATTTAGTGAAATTCAGGAATAGTATCGGGGATAATTATGTCTTAGGGTCCAATGGGTATTGAACTTTATTTTGAACGAATTTACAAGATATTATACCGAATAATTCATTAAATTTTAGAGCACTTGAAAGACTAACGATTATATCTAAAGGGACACGGCACACCAATCTGGTAAAGTAAAAAATACCTTTTATCATTATGAGTGAAAAGTAAATTTCAAAAGAACCGACGATTATTATCTAATATTTCTTCCTCCTTCAATCTTGAATCACTTCGTAACTTCACTAATTCAATACTATGCCAAAATGGGGCAGCATGAAAAAATAAAAAAAGGAAACATATTTAATAGTTCATTTTTGAGTAATATATGCTGAAAAGGAGAAAAAAATTAACAACATGCACCAAAGAAAAAAAGAGAGAAAGTGCAATAGTATTTTTAGTGCTTAAAACCCTAATGACTATCAAGTGGTTAGAAATGGAGTATATTTTTTGCCATTTATTTTTAGTAATATTTTAATTTTCCAAGTATGTGATTTTGAAACTTCCGTTGGAAGAGTAAATTTGACCTGTATTCTAGCTATCCAACCAAACTAATAGTATTGCATAACCTCTCAACTCCAAAACAATAATTTACATAGACCCATTGAATTTAAATTGGCATAGGTAGTTGATACCTATTAATCCTTATTGATATCATGAAGACTTTGATTTCCCAAACTTGAAATAAAATCAAAAATCGAGTAGAACAAAAGATCAAAAAAATCAAACATTTGTAGATTGTTATTGAGAAATGCCAGACTTAGAACAATAGTGTTGTTCAATAGGCAACTTAAAAAATTGTTAAATCCTCCTTCACATGCTGAATAGCAGAAGCACCAAATCAATCTTCATGCTTAAAAAAAAGTGGAATTGTATATTGGAGACACCCAAAACACAAAATATGAAAGTGACGAAAAGGTAACATGTCATATACATAATCCATTGTGAGACAAGTTCTTATTCTTCAATTAAATTTTTAGAGTNTATTGGAGACACCCAAAACACAAAATATGAAAGTGACGAAAAGGTAACATGTCATATACATAATCCATTGTGAGACAAGTTCTTATTCTTCAATTAAATTTTTAGAGTTAGATAATCAATTTTTCAAATATTAAAAATATAAAGTTTGACCTAAAGTGAGTATTTATGAAACTTGTGGTTTTAGAGGATAATTTTGTGTTCAATACAATATTAATTGACTCTTAATATATATATCTCTGATTTATTAAGTGAGGCAGTAGAAATATCATTCTTTTAGTATTTAAGGTTTTTGATACCCACAAAAGTTGAATTTCCATCTTAGCAAATACGATAATGTTATGCTTCAAAATTGAAGTTTATTCAGAAAAATAAAAAATAAGAAATAAAAATTGGTTGATGGTAGGTTTAAAGGGTTTTTCTTTTATTGGTTAACTGATAAATAAGAACAACATGCAATATAATTTTATTTCAAAATAATGAATATTTGATACTTTGAGAATGAAGCTAATATGCACGTTGGATGTAAAAAAATATATTGTTTTTAGTATGACTAAGAACTCTAAGAAAGAGATTGATGGGTAGAGAAAAAAAGCGAGAAAACAAGATGAGAAAGGTAGCATGCAATAGAGATAAAAAGCATGCAGTACATGGACCTTACAACTCATAAAAAGAGTCTCCAATGACATCATGCATTGCCATTGTATTTGAGCAATGCTACGTGGACATTATTTAGTAATCTTATTTGGTAACTTTATCATTTTTTGTCATTACATTGATAGTAGACCTCACTCTTAGTTGGAATCCACTGTCAATTCAATGACTATGATTCATTGTGTCACCAAATAATCTCACTTAATTAGGTATAAATATCATTTCCTATTTTATTTCAGTAAAAAAGAGACCAGTTATCCAAAATCGCAAAACCACCGATCCAAAATTGTTTTTTTCGTTGTAAATGGAATAAGGTAGAGGGAGGGAGATTGTAGCTAGAAGTTCAAAAGAACCAAAATAGTTTGGACTCTTCCTCTTCTTCTTCTTCTTCTTCATGAAAAGAAACCGTTATCCTTAGTGCTAGTTAATAATTAAAAACCCTTGATTTACGTAAGAAAACTCATTTCAAGACTTAGTTATAGGTTAAATGAATAGATATGATAGAGTTTATAATATTCATTAGAGGTAAAATAAGAAAACAAATTTTTTTTATGCTGAGATACTTTTATTAATAGTATATACAAGGTATTAGAAGACATTTCAGCATCAGGTCAGTACTAATAAAATCATTAAGACTATGCTTTATAATTTAATTCAAATTTAGTATTAAGTGGCCATTAAATTAAATTAGTTTAATCACAATTTCTGGTTCCATTTATCCAGTGTTACTTAGTAGAGGAATATCTTGTACCATGAGTGTGACACAAAAACTCAGGACCCAACTCTTGATGGTAATAACACGATGTTAACGTTGTATTGAAAATCAAACATGAGAAGATGGACCATGTAATCTTAAGAGATAGTTCATGAGATGACCTGTAAATTCAGATATCTTTAATTTAAATCCTGACAACTTCTTGGGGTCAAGACATGAGAGATTTATCTCTCATAAATGCTTTAGACTCGGTGTGAATGGTCTGTCTTTGACCGAACTGGTGAGAGAATTATTAGAAATGAACCAATGAGCCTTTGATCTAATGGTACTCCTTGTCTTATAAAAATTTTACTTTCTTAAGATTAAGAATTCAAGTTTATCTCCTCCTCCCTTTCCCCCTCTAACCGTTGAATCAAAAATTAAAAAAGGAAAGGATGACCATGTGAGAGAAATCGCCACATGACCCACAAGATGGAACGGCCATACACCCAAACCCAACCACAATGGACCAACAACACATGACACAACTATCCATCACCTTTGTGCTTATGGATAAGCAGCCACAATGTTGTTGTGTTTACACCGAACCCAATATTATAAATGTGGGCCACCCCTGACCATTAATTAGATGGATAGGCCGTGCTCGGCCCATCTTGTTGTCTACGTATTTGCTTTGGATATTAGAAGTGCAATTGGACTGTTATTCCAAAATACGAATGTAAACGATTTAGGCAATACTAAATTTAATAATTTGTACCCAAAAAAAAAAAAATTAAAGTGATTAATGTTGCAAAGCATTCAAATCAGTAATCAAAAGATAAAGAAAATTAGGATCATAAAATATAATCTTGAAAAGTTGAGAGAGGGCCACATAAAATAAAATCAAAAATATAAGCTCAAGGTATAAAGATTTATTTCATAAATTTTGGAGGGGAGACTAACATAATTTTAGAAACTTGAGAAGCCCTCCTGCCATAACATGGCTCCGCCCATAGAATAGAATATGAGAGATTTATCTATCATAAATTATAATTCATCGGCGTAAATGATTTGATTTTGATGGAATAGTACATGAGAAAAAAATAATAATAATAATAATAAAAAAGTTGATAGACGGAAAGGTGTCCGTGGAAGCTGGTCCCTACCAAAAGCACAGCAATTACCAGGCGTGCACCGCCTCAACCGAAACTCTCTTTATATGTTGAATGAAGGCAAAGTATGCAATTAAGTGGGCACAGGGCAGGGCAGCATATACCTAAGAAGTTGCATCTACGTTGGAAATTATTGACTAATTCGGTTAGTAGAGCGTTTTATACTCATATTTACAAAAAAAAAACTTGGTATT